TCTTTTCGCTACATTTATGAACTAATTTTCCTTTGGTTGTTTGATGTTTATGTATTCCGTGTTCTGTCTTGCTAGCATAGGTTTTAACAATAGAATGAGTTAACAAGTTATATATGTGTGTCTTGCATCACTCACATACATATGTTCCTTTAGGAATATTTTTTTTTTCTTAAAAACGTTGCCCCACTTTAGGATTTTCTCCTGTGTTGTGGGTGCGTTTACAAACATACAATGTCACGTGACACCCAGACCCGAAACAACAATTTGTGGATGACACAAAGTGTTGTTCCGTGCGGGAATCGAACCCGCAACACGTTGCACGGCAGCCAGCCGAGCTACCGCACCAATCGTGCAGTCAATATATAAATATGTCAATAGATAAAGTTCATGAACTCCGTATTAACCTATACTTGTACATGAGCAATTACATCAAATATCATTTTAATTCCATTTTCAATTGTGTCAGTAAAGTAATATTGAAATACACTGCGTTCCCTTTTTGTCATTACATAAAAATGTAACTTAATCATCATGTCAGCTTCAATATTGTCAGTTACTGCGAACGTACAGTAATTGGCGCGTTATAAAAGCCGGTCCGCTCCACAAAAACTGGATATTCCCTTTTTCATGTAGCCTGGTCTGGATTTAGGACACAGTCGGCTATTGTTTGCGCTGCTAGTTGTTTGTACGTTGTTAGAAGCGCCCGGCTTCGATGGAAATTTTGATTAAAAAATACACGTCCTATTGAAAAACTACGCGTAGGTTTTTAATAGACGGACAGTACGTTTGAAAACGTTTTTAATTAATTGATTTTCTGCGAATTCTGATCGCACCTGTGCCTACTATCAATTAAGAGAAAAGGAAGGTTCTGAGATTGTTTTTCATTAAAGACTTTTTTCGAATATATAAGCGAACTTCTGTCCTTATGTAGGTACCTACATAGGTATTTCATTTTATCTCCACATCATCAGCCTATAAGTGCCCACTGCTGAGCAAAGACCTCTTCTCACATGGAGAAGGTTTGAGCATTAATCAACACGCTTGCTCAAACTTCCTAACGATCTTTTTCACCGTTTGCTAATGGTGTCTCAATACAGTTGGAAAGTACATATGACTTAGAAAAAGGTCACATTGGTATTTGCCAGGTTTCCAACCTGCACTCTCATAAGCAGTCCCGGGCCACGATGGCCTACATCGATATTATCTTTACCTGTATATATGTGTATAATAATATACCTACCTACCTAGACACATTATATCTAAACCTGTCTCCGTCTGAACAACAGTCATAAATTTAACCATTTGATTACCAAAATGTCATGTGTGTTCGTTATTTTTTCAAACCCCATTGAAAGGTAAAGGTCGCTAAGTATTTACTTATAACACATTTCCAAGCGATTTCCTTTTTTAAAAAGGTCATTGTATAAGAGTTTTCCCCGAAGTACCGGATACAGTGTCGAACTTGTAAAAGTACGCGTACAAGGAGGTTATATACAGAGATCCTTTTATTACAATGTTCAGTAATAAATTCGCAAGTGTATAAATGTTGTATGTTTAACGCCAAGTATGTATTAGTGTGTGTCATCATAGTAATCATATAATAGAGGTATTTATTGGTTATATTCTGTTACGTACCATGCAAGTCCACGGCCCCACACGACCACGGCCTCGCGAAAAACCGGCGTGAAACAACCCCATCGTTGTTTTTCTCCGTGTGAGTGTGGTTACTGGAAGCTCCATCGTCTCTCCCCACTCCCCCCACCCTAAATCTCCAAAACCCTTATGCCTATAAAGAAAGTACACGTGTTATTCAGCTCGTTTGTTGTCCTATCACATAAAAAAGAATGTATAGTTAATCGTGTCATTAGTCAATAGTGTATTATGTCAATCGTGGTACTTAGTATCGACAATACGTGCGCGAACGCCCCGTTCGCTTAGGCGAACTAGGCGAAAATGAATTAAAACAAAACTAAAGTTTTTCAGAACAATAATCGAACTCTTCGACAAAGGCATATTTTATCATACACGATACACAACAAATCGATTAATGAATCAGTTACCTACAACTATCATTCACTATGCCAGTTCCAGATACATGCACACTGCAAGCCCAGACATTCTGATTACGTCACAATTTCACCTGTTCTACAAAAACCATCCTTATAACATCTATATAAGGTACAGTATTTATCATTTTGTTCCTAGAGGCAGAATGTTCAAGGAATCTAATCCTAAGGAATGCTTTGATAAGCATGGGAGGTCTGAGTCCCAAGATAAATAGCAGGATTAACTGCTTTATAAAAGTAATTGAGTGTATTACGGTAATTCTTAGATTATACTGTGGTTTGTTTATGATCATATTTACTGAAATAGAACAGAACGCGCCGTGTTGATTCATATCGAAACTAAAATTAGCTTAAAAATGCAGTTGGTACCTATTAAGAGAATAAAAATGTTTGTAAAACTTTTTATATTATAATTTTCACGGTGTGATTTGGTCCGACAATTAATAAGTGTAGATTTTTTTAATTTTATTTAAAACTAGTTTTTGCCCACGACTTCTTTCGCGTGGAATAGTGACATACCTACTGCAGATTTTGGTATAAAAACTATCCTATGTCCTTTCTGGAGTTCTAAACTATGTGTGTACCAAATATCATAGAAATCAGTTCAGTAGTTAAGGCGTGAAGAAAAAACAGACAGACAGAGTTACTTTCGCATTTATAATATTAGTTTGGAAGATAGAGTTATAGTTTATAATACATGGAAAGGTAAGCGATAAGAAAATGTAATAACTTACCTTCAAAGCCTTTTAACAGAATTCTAGCTTATTTATCACAGACCTTAATCGAATAAAATAGGTCAGAACCCGTCCGTAGGTCAGGCTAGAAATATCGTACTGCGTCAGCCTGGCTTTACTAAAAGGTCAATCAATATTCACTCACTTAAATTAAGCTCTGAGACAAAGTGATAGCCGCATAGCAATTGACATGAAAAATACTCTATTTTGAGCAATGATATTATAAGTAAAAAGGTAGGATAGGTTACATAAACGATATTCGATTTTCAAAAACGGCAAACTTATGCACACATGAATAAATGTTAAAGTGGGATGGCATGATTTAATAATCGCGAAAATGAGACAAATATCAAAAAGTGTGGCTAAGCTAGCCGCCTAGCCACATTTTAATGTATCACTTAGGCTTGTTACCTATCTACAACTTTTTACTTATAATATCATTGATTCTAAGCTTACTTTTAGAAGTATACGTAGGTTGTAATGTATGTTGTAATTCTGAAGGACTAATAATAAAAGCTTAAAGTTTATATCAACATTCGTATTATGACATTTTAAAAATTCTCAAGGAATCTAAAATATTAGTTTTTTTTTCATAGCAAACCAATGACGTATTTTAAATAGACACGTCATGAACCAACATCGCGGCGCTTAAAAACGGCGAAAATACTAGATAACTACTTCGACTAGTAAAGAAAGGGAAAGAAAATATGACATCGTATAGTGGAATGCCTTTGCTAGAGGGAGATAAATATACATCTTCAGTTACATCACAGGATAATGGAATAGTAAAACTACATTTTCATAAGATGGCAGCCATAAGATGGCGGGCGCCGGCGTCGAAAAAAATAAAATAAAAATAGGTTGTTTGGTGAACTTACGCATGAAATGACACATTTTTGTCTTTAACTTTTGGAGTATAATTTGTACATCGTCTGAACACACACGACGGCATGCTTTACTTATGTTTCGCACAGGTTTACACACACGATATAAATTAAAAACAAACGTAGCGTCGCGCGGCAGGTTGGTGCGTAACTAAGCGCGATGTTGTCAATTGCCTTCATTTCATGTTGTCATTTTAGAGCGCGGACAACGTATCTATAGATTTATACATCATTGTAGCAAACAGAGAATCTTAACACTTACTGTAAACAACTTTACCATAAACAACATAAAATACACATGTAACCTAATCGAATCACCATGACAATTAAAAAGAGAACGCTATGCTCTATTGTTACAAAATGTCACTGTCATAATTACTGTCTGACTGACATTCTAATCAATAGTTGCCAAGTTATTAGCATCGTAATAATATTCTATTGTTTATCGCAAATAAAAGACGAACGCACACTGACCTCTATAATAAACGCTGGACTGGCTATCCCTAACAAAATGACAGCTATTTTCTGTGCCGATTCAAAGCGCCCCGGTGAGAGTACTGAGAACTAATTAAATTGCAAATGGCCGTTGTTTGTTGTTTAAATGCGAAGTATCTTTGCGGAATAATACGTTTTTTAAAGTATTTACTGCGATTGTGACATAAATTAAGTGTTATAATAGTGACAGTTATTGTATCATAGCTTATATTATTGGACCAACATGAAATCGTGCGTATATTGTAAAACACGATACGAAAAGAGCAGTGGCGTCACTTTTCACAAGTAAGTGAATCTAAAATATAAATACTTAGTAGGAAACGCTTAAAGCAGTGTATTCTTTCAATAATAAACGTAAACAGTTCGAGTTTATGGGATTTTACGAACATTTTTATAACCAATAACTTTTGATAGGGATGGTAAAGTTCATATATCGATACTTTCGTCTGGAGTAATAAAACCAGTAATGCTATGTTTTATTTTATTCATAATTAAAATTTTTTTATATTTTTAATATTAATTTGCGTCAAATACGACACAGCTCTTGATGGTTTTTTAACAATTCATAAGTATTATTGGCAAAATTGTGGTGTTTTCCACAAAGGCCTAAATAAGAATTTAATTGAATAAAAATATTTACCTTCATTGTAGAATAATAATATGCACAATATAATGATCTCTAATAATAGCAAAACACTGCAAGGTTTATAATTATCAGAGTCAATAACGAATAATTTAACATTTATGATTAATAATTTTATTGAGTGATCTACCAAACCTAATTTTATATATATTAGTAATAAAATAACACATTTTTACAGAAACCAATTCAACCTTATTACAAACTGAGATGTCTAAAAGCTGATCAAACAACAGAATACCAATGTGAGAAAGATATTGAAATGAGCTTGGATGAATTTAATTCACCATCAGGTACCTGTACAAGTTGGGTTACTAAATGATGAAGTCCATGAAAAGTAAATGTTGCCATGTGAAGCCCTTGCAGGTAAGTTATTTTAGAAAATTTTATAAATACTGAGCATGGCTTGCTGAAGTACTAAGTTTGCAACTAACAGTGGGTAAATACTAAACAATTTTTAAGAGGTGAAAATTATGTACACTTAGGGATATTTATGCCTATGTCCAACAGTGAACATCTTTCCGTTCAAATGATGATGATGACATACCTTTCCCAATATTTTGAAACATATTTTTACTATCTAATTATTATCTTTCTTTGAATAATATAAATAATGAAATATAATTTCTTATTACAGTTCCAAGCACAAGTTACAACACAAGCTACTGTAGCACACCAACAGAATCTAGAACTTTAGCGGAAATCATTTCTAGTGTCAAATTAGATCACAGCTACGAGAACACCCCAAAATCTTCAAAAAATAAATTGGAAAGGGTCTAAATACCTTGAAAATGTCACAAGCTCGAATTAAAGTATTGTCACAAAATATTAAACGTATGAAAATTACTGTGTCTACTTTAAAATCTGTAATTGCTGATTTAAACCAAAAGAAACTGGGATGTGATGATTGTGTTTATATGTTAAATCAGTATGATGATTTCAAACCACAACTTTTTAAAAGAATAACCAAAAATGTAAAACGTTTAAAGTAATCTCCAGAATTAAGATAATTTGCCATTTCTTTACATTTTTATTCGCCAAAGGCATATGCATATGTGCGTAATAGGTTTAATTTGGCTTTGCCTCATCCTCGTGTGATACGCTCATGGTATAGTTCCATTGAGGCCAATCCAGGTTTCTCAGTCGAAAGTTTCAATACCTGATTCTAATATTAATGAGGCTTTATAATTCGATCGATATGAAAGTCAATAAGCAACCTTTTAACGAAAACCAATGAACTGTTTCCTAAAAGATCACTTGAGAGACAGTCTGTTATGTCTCAGACAATTTTCATAATCATGTTCTTTTAAAAGAAATAATAACCAAATATATTGACATCCATTTGTACGCAGAAACAAAAAAATACTTTTTATTAGTAACTGGAGAGAAAGTAAGACATTTTTTGACCCAACAGATAAAATGGGCTCGACGATATTTTTTAAATAATAAAATATGTGATTTAAATATGCTTTTTTAATTTCCCTGTCCCTTCCCTTGCAGTAGTTAAGCTGATAGAAGTTTATTACCGTAATTACAGATCTAATAGTAATTATTGTGTCTTGTACCGCATGGTGACGTGGGATATCTTACTAGTTAGATATCCCACGTCGCCATGCGCAAGCAAATTAATCCCTTACCATAGAGTGTATAATACATTCTATGAAGGGTAATTTTATTATTTATTAATTCAATAGTGAACTTTTATCCAATCAAGAAGAACAATGAAATGAAAGAACGGGTCAACCGGACACGTGATACCTATTGATTACAGTCCAGAAACTAGTAGATACTACTATTACAGATAAGTTTGTTTGTCTCGTAGTAAGTGGCTCTGTCTGCTATGCCGCAGATCATGGGTTCGATTCCCACTCAGCTGTCTGATACATAACACAAGCTCTGCTTAACTTGGGACTAGATGGTGTTGTGTGATAGTTATTTAAGTCTGAACGTATTTTATGTTACAAACCATATTTAAAAAAAATATCTTATGTACCTATATGTCCTATGTACAGCCAGTTTATTCAATAATTTAGATTCTATGCTATCAAATAAACTAGCTGTGAACCATTGAACTTTTACTACAAAACATTTGTCATTTTAAAATTGGTAGAGTGTAATTGCATTTTTGACCCCTGATTGTACGTATTGTTTATTATTACACTTAGGTGTTTAAATAAAATTTACCTAAACCAATTTAATATTAAAAATATCGTCAGTAATATTTTTGTAATTGTTGTCGATATCAGTAAAGTTTTTATCGATATCAAACCATTTGTTGTCAACACTAGTATTAGTTCCATTCCCCCTCACTTCTGCCGTCAGCGCCAAAATGGCGATTTTCAATTAGGCACAAAAAGTTGGTACCAATAGCCAGTCCAGCGTTATTATAGAGGTCAGTGCGAACGCAGCACGAAGAAGATGGAAATAGTTTAGAAGGACACTTAAGGCATGTTTATTTTAATTAAACATTTTCTTATGAATTGAAAGTGTATATATAACATTGTTACCTATTTATAATGTGTGTTATTGGAATACATATGCTATAAGGTCGACGTGTGATTAAATAGATACATGGTTTTTGTTCATAATAAGTTTTATTTTTGTACCACATATTTCATATAAAACAAAGTCGTATTCTCTGTCCCTATATCCCTATGTATGCTTAAATGTTTTAAACTACTCAACGGATTTTGACGCGGTTTTTTATTAAAGAGAAAGGTTATATGAATAGTGGAGAAATTAGGTATCACCATTTCACGTATGGCTGACCATACGAAGCTGGAGCGGGTCGCTAGTTAAGATAAAAACGGAAGAGAATATTAACGTCAAACGACGTGTTTACCTACATTTGATTTAAATTAATAATTTTATTTACCCTTAAGAAATGTTCCATAAGACTCAGATCACACAATTCATCCATCATATCTTTGATCTTTATATTTACTGAACCACGGGCCGAAATCTCCAATTATTTACTAATCCAGAAACTCAGCTTCCAAAATTCCAATTTACTGATTGATTGATAACGTATTCTATTTCACGAGTTAGCGTGGCTGTAACCTAATAGGAAAACAATTTATCTAAAGTCGATAATATCAATGTATTTGCATGTACATGCTTGTAAATGGTGGCCGTAAATCTTGCTTGTAGGCGCTACCGCTGCATAATGAGTTGGAGTCGGTTACAAGTGTAGGATGTAATTGTGATGTTGGAGCCTCGATTCGACAGCTTATTCTATAGAATAACATAGATTAGGGGACGAATTAGAAGAAAAACTGGTTTCTTTACCTAAATTTATGATGAAACTGTTGTTATTTGATAGTGTTTTTGTTTGATCTAAGTTATTTGTGATAACTCCACGTACCTACTCGTGATTCGTTGTGTCGTGATCTTTTGTTATAAAAACAGTTGCCCTCGTCATTAAATTTTCATTTAACACACTAGTTAATAGGTGTTAATAAAATATCAATGTCTTATAGTACAACTAACCATAAGTATTCTACATCCTATTCTAGTCAATCTAAATTGTTTATAGAACAGACACATCACATTTGTTGGTGGTTACAATCGATTTGCAAACAGCTAATAGTTGTTTACCACAATGTCTATAACTAAAGCCACAACCCGATTGGACTCCCATCAAATGTGGCCGTAGCTATCTGCGTCATAGCGGTTGGCAGTAGTATTCCCTATAAATAATTTAGGTATATTATCAATCACCACGGGTCGTTCTTCGATCGCTGATCATTGGCTTCTTAACATTTTTTTAAACATAAACATTACACAAACATTACTCTCGTAAAAAAAATGAAAAAATAAATGTGTTGTCCATAAAACCGTGTAGTCGATTGTGGATTTAAAAAAAACTGTCAAAGACAACGACAATAACAGTTATTTTTACTAAACAATAGAATTCGAAAAAGGAACGCATACTACATTTGGCGGCAATACGGTACTCCATTCATAGGCGTGTCTTCCCACGTCAGCGTCGCGTCGCTAGCTTGCATTGCCTTCTCAAAGCTATTTCGCAAGCTCACCATATGGTGCGCACTAGGACCGTAACTATGCACATTATAAATTACCACATGGAATAACGATGAAATATTGTTTAAGTTTAAATCCGTTATCTATTTTATTACTTCTGAATTCCGGCAGATGTTATTACCGGGCGCTGCATCTCCGAATTACGTTTATTATATTGATGTGAGCGCGGTAAAAAGTTACTACTAACTATGGCTTTGATGAAACTCGTAGTTATTTAGTTGGTATATTTAATCCATTTTATATCAGACGTAAAGCGTATCGGCGTGAAATAACACTTACGTTGTGTTGAAGTTACCTGAAAAACAATCCTTCTTCACTTCCCAATCCCTATCCTTTAATCCGTAATAATTCACAAATGGCCGCCAACGTGCCTTAAGAAACTCCTTTGGTATTACGACTAATTACGAGTGTCTATCGGCGGCACTGATTGTTTACCATCAGGTAATCGACCTGCCTATTGGCCGACATATTAACCATGCCTTTAAAAAAAAGACATGGTTTTGATTATGAGTTGTAAATAATTAATATTTCTTTTCGATTACACGCGCGGATTTAACTGTAATGTAAGTACATACGGATGCAACATAGAAGCACCTATATCAATATAATAAGTTCTAGCAACATACCATTTAGTCTGAAACTATTCCTGTAAATTCCAACATGTTTACACCTCGATAAAATTAAATAGAGGCTGTAAATAAAAGCTCTTTACATTAGTTTTATAATTTAGCGGACTGGCCGACAGTGAGCTCGTAAAATACTAGTCTTTACGAAGTTGGAGCCGACACAAATGGACGGAAACAGACAAGGGTAGTGGTAATAATGAATTAATTAGGACTTTCTATAGAAACACTCATCCGTCCGCAGCTTTAGTACTAGCGTAAGAGCGTTTATGTGATAATTGACGAAGACAACGTTTCCGATTGGAAATACGGCCTAATGGTTTACTTTCTCTGCGGATTTTCTATTTAATTCTTAGTAAGTAGCATTGGAAATGGACTTCTTTTATTTTATTTGTATTTGACTGAATTAATTTTTGTGATTTAAATTGTCCCATACGAACAAATCATTTTATTTATGTGATAGATCAACGGATTAACCTTAATATTAGGAATGGGTGCTGTCAATGGATTCTCAAAATACCAAAGGAGTAACTACATATATTGGGATTTAATGATAGGGGTCGACCCTCCGGTATCCTCACGCCTCGTCCTCTAAACATAACTTCAGTGTTGTTTCACGCCGGTATTCAGTAAGGCCGTGGTATCACTCCGATATCAGATTTCCTTTATCTTATTACCTACGTTTGCATTCGGCATTAATGTGAATAAAACATTGGATTCTGTTACTAAGAGAAGCCTTGATATCTCTTTAATGGCTCATAAAAGATAACTATAGCACATCATTCAATACATATTAAAATCCATTCGATAAACTATAGAGCTCATTCAATTGTTTTAATCGAAACTAAATAGATGGATCATTGTGGATAACGATATTGATTATTCCATTTATTTCCCATTGTAGATAGTTGCAGTGGATAGCCAGTTTATCTCAAAGTTGCAAATAGTTGGAAATGTTGTATGGAAACTGGATAGGTACCAAAGTACCTACGAGTACGTACGGTACTCGATCAAACTTGCTCCGGACCTTGTTTGATGGACTTCGGTGACTTGTTTTTGAAATAGTAACTGCTAACTAGTTGATAGTTGTAATTCTATTCGGAATTGTATTGTTTGAACAGAACCTACATATATTTATTAAATTAGGATTGTCAATTCTATTTTTGAATGATAGAAAAATTTATATAAAAACGTAGATGTCTTGCCTCAATGTTCCAGAGAAAATTTAAAATGAATTGACAGTTCTCAGTCAATTACTTCATAAGTTATTCCGAAAGAAAAACTGTTATTTACGCTTTTTGTTCAAACAGCTCTCCATTATCAATTGTTCTTGATATTTCAAAAATATCGGTATTCAGAACATTCACAAGTATCCTTAACCTCTAATAAAATATCTAGCTGTTGGCATCATTAGTCATTAGCTGTAGAAATGAATCGTCAAGAAAGGAAGTATTGAATTACTTTCATAGCATTAACGCGCGCTCGATCGAGTTTGATTCGACGCTCCATTTGAATCTTGTATTGCCTTCTTCTTTGATTCTTTTATGATACCGGTTTTATTCAATAAAATATGAGAAATGTTCAAAGATATGACATTAGAAATGCTTAAGGAATAGCTAATAGGAAATTACTGTTAGGTATTAAACATTAAACAGCTTTATCGTAGATAGCATGATATTCAAGTATATAAAAATAGTTATTTACTTCTGATACCCTAGTTGTATACTTTTATGTAATGACTAAGAGTAATAAACCAAAACAAATTTTTTCTATTCTTTTAGGGGATTTTATTTCGGATATGACAACTCCATCATAACTAAAATTTACACCTTGTTTACCTTATTTAAAAATGAACATATGTAGGTATAACACCAATACCAATCGAAGTTTAT